CTGCGTACCTGATCCATCTCAGCTCCCAAATACGTCCAACCACCCCCACCCACCTCCACCCTCACCATCACCCCCACCCCCACCCCTGTTTGACAGAAGACGCACAGCTGCGGTAGTTTAAGCGACGGCACGTTTGAACTGCAAAGTGTGCAGAGGCAGCGCAGCGCCTGCCTGCCGCGTGGAGGTGTGAGGTTGAGGTTACTTTCAATATGACTGCAAGGAAACGACCCCACAGCTGACCCTCTGTCACTAACCACTCAAACGTTGTGAGTTAGTTAACCACCGTTCCCTTGTAGGTATATAGGCCTATATACTGTATATATATGGTGAGAACCAACCCTGCCACACACACACACACACACACACACACACATATGTATATATATATATATATATATATATATATATATATGTTGAGAAACACTACTTAAACCCCCCCCCCCCCCCCCCCCAACAAAAAAAAAACATTTGATTTTATCATCAATTTATGTAATGCAAATGAGTGAAATATCAGAGCAATCATTGCGAAATGTGACCTCATCAGTAAATGACTAGCTCTGCTTATGAACGCAGTGTGACGCAGTGTGGCAGCCAAGTCGGCGCCGGACTTGAACTTTAAAATGGTATGTCCCCCCCCCCCCCCCCATCACACACAGATTAGTTACAGTAATACAGGAGACGCTTCAACACAGAGAGAGAGAGAGAGAGAGAGAGAGAGAGAGAGACTAGCCATGTGCTCCTCACTTCCTGCACTTCGTCACGGCAGCCGTTTCTGTCGCCGCTTCAACGCGTTATTTAAGCAAATAAAATCAACAATATCCCCCCGACAATATCCCCCCCCCCCCACACACACACACACACACACACACTCTTCCACAATAATAACCCACCTGGACGAATATGGGGAAAATGAGGATCTTCGGCGCCACTTTGACGTAGCCGTAGTTGGCGTGGGACGCGTGGGAGCGGACGATGGTGCAGTTCTGGTAGTTGGCGAAGTTGGCGTTGTGCGGCTGGTAGTTGGCCGTCGGGGTCGCGCTGTTCTTCGACGTTTTCGAGTGGCCGGACCGGCGGAGGAAGTTGGTTCGGCTGGAGAGACCTCCACCTCCTCCTCCTCCTCCTCCGAAGCCGCCGCCGCCACCACCACCACCAGCAGCGGCGCCCCCCTGCAGCGGTGGCGGCGGCGGCGCGGGGACCTGTCTGGTGGGGTACAGCCGGGAGGCGATGCTGGACGCTGGACAAGGGGGGGGGGGGGAAGAGGGCAAAGCGGGAAAGCACAGAGGTCAGTTATTGCGTTTTAGGACTTTTATGCAAAATACGACCCACTTGCGTTGTCATGTGCAATGTCAACGTGAGGAGACGTTTCTCTTTTGTCCACAACTGTGATGACCGTTTCATGAATAACGTGAAGGGGAACAGGAAGTACGGATCTTACCCAGCGTGCCCTGGCTGTCTTGGTAGACGGGCCTCAAAATCTACAACAGAGTAACGGAGTAGAAGACAGACTTGTTAGTAGGCCTGTGGAGAAACGAGCAAATTACTGCAATGCATTACGAGCAATTACTGTATTTGTAATGCATTTTGAAGCTGAATCAATCACTTTATCGGGAAAGCCTTAGAGGAGTACAGTCATCGTAAGTTGTGGTTTTGTTGTGTGTTTGTAATATGTCATGTTGTGTGTCTTTCTGGCACGTTTCCTTTTGTCTTTTTCACTTGATCCATACCGTTTCCTCACCTATAACTCTGGTCTCCTACTCTCCTCATCTCTCATTTTTATACGCCTCTATTTGTATTCATATACTGTTATGATAATTCCTAACAACGGTTTTTCCTGTCCCGTGTAAACTCTTCAACTTAGCCTCATATTAGTTCAACAGCGGTGGAAAAGCCCATTCAATATAAACCAAGAACTAAGTTTAGCTGAAGAGCATTCTTGAAACGCGACTCCCTTTAAATCTCACGAGTTTATTTTGCTCCACTCACAGGTTTTTCATAATGGCTTTCGTTTTGTTGTAGTTGCTCTGTGTCAATACGATTTCTCTCGACAGCGCTTCCTGTAATAGGTGCGTTTTCACATAATATAATAATATAAAACAATACTATCACGAAACAAGTAATACAATTAATAACAAATATTGATTTTAATCTTCGCCGCGGCTAATCCCCTGCTCACGTGGAGTCAGTCCGTGCCATTGTCGTCGGTTGGCCTTCGTCTGTCAACTGTGTTTCTGCCAAGAGTCTCGCTGGTATGAAACACACTGCAGACCGCTCTTCCTGTTTATAACACCGGCTTCAGTGGAACCTGACAAGAGCAGAGTCACTCAACACACACATGCACATGCACACGCACGCACACACACACACATTTGCGTGCAGACACACACACACACATGCACACATAAACGCACACACACACACATTTGCGTGCACACACACACACACACACACACACATGAATGCACACAGACGCACACACACACACATGCATTTAACACACTCAAGACACACACACACACTTGCGTGCACACACACACGCATGCATGCACACATAAACGCACGCACACACACACACACACACACACACACTTGCGTGCACACACACACACACACACATGCATGCACACACACACACACACACATATTTAACACACTCAAGACACACACACACACACACAAATGCATGCACACATAAACGCACACACACACACACACACACACGCATTTAACACACTCAACACACACACAAACACGACACTTTTACACACAAGCCCCGCTGGAAAGTGACATGTAGGTCTGTAACAGTGACTGACCGAGGAGCACGGAGAGACACAGCGGCGATCGCAGCCACACACACACACGACGTCTGCTGCCAGAGTCTACTTTTCTTTTGAAAGCCAGCGGTGCTGGACGAATTACTGTGAAAAACCCAATGAACAATATGGGAGGCACACTGCAGGGGGGGGGAATGTGCCCACGAGACAGCTAGGGTGTCTCGTGTTGAGTGGTTAGTATGATAGATAACTGGTGCGGAGTTAGCTGAGGAATTCATTTCAGAGCCTTGACTTTAATCCATGCGGTTTGCTTTATTGTGCTTTTATCACCACGTCTTGCTGACCCACAGTCATGATGTCATCAGATCCCATCGCACAACACGTTACACAAGTACACATGTGCGCGGTCGGCTTGTAATCGGTAGGATAACACTTTTGTAGTACTTTTTGTAGTATAATCGCCATGAACTCGGCGTTCCTTTTCATAGTATTGCATCATTTGTTTGCCATGTATATATATAAACTCTTTGGGGGGTACTTCAGAATGGCTAACTTCAGGTTCAAATAGTTCAACTTTATCAAGTTTATATACTCATTATTGGCAAAAAAAGAATGGAATTGGCACATATCTGTCCATTAAGAGCGATACGATTCCTTGTATGAACTAAATGGCGGAAGATGCACAGAATTACCAGGAGCTGTCTCTAAAAAATCGTCGGGGCGGGGGGAAACACCGCACCGTTTCAAATGCGGTATTTTAAATACCCTGTCTGTGCACACAGACGTACAAGCAGAGCGTAACGCCGGTGTGATCGCGTGACCATGTCTCTCGGCGCCGCAGCGTCCAGTCCGGTCTAACTAGTGGCGTCGGGGATGTACGGCAGGGAAACATATCTGGGGTGAGCCACCACGCGTCCCCGGTGAGGATGAGGAAGATGGGGAGGAGGAGGAGGAGGAGGAGCAGGAGGAGGGTGGTGGTGGAGGAGGTGATGGTGGTGAAGATGCAGACCCCCAGCAGCGCTCTGAGGTACCTGGCTTCCGGCATTGATGGGCGCCAGGATGATGTAGTTGTCCCCGTTGGACGCCTTCACCCGGGTGCCCTTCAGCGTGGCCGTGGCGTGGGGGTGGGGGGTGGGGGTGGTGGTGATGGTGCTGCTGGGCCCTGGGGTGGCCGTCCAGCTCCTCGGCCGAACCCACCCTGCCGCCCCATCCCGGATCCCCTCCAACGCCAACGCCGCCGCCGCCGCCGCCCGCCTCCGAGCCGTTGAGTAGGAGCCTACGGGCGGTGGTGGCGGGGGCGGCGTTGGCGGCGACGGTGGGGCGATGGTGGGCCGGGAGGCGGGGCACAGCCGGCGGGGTCTTGCTGGCGACGCCGCCCCCCCGCCGGCGCGTGGGCGGGGAGGGGGCGTCGTAGTTGGAGGCGGACGGCTTGTAGGACGGCCGGTGGATGAGACCCTCGAAGCTGGGCTTGGCGGTGGGACCCGTGCGCCACACCACCAGGCGGATCTCGTTGGAGCTGTTTCTATGATGAGAGACGAGGGACGGGTGAGTTAGTCAGCTATAACTAAACTATTTTAAACAATCGCAAGTTAGCAGGCTATAATTAAACTATATCAATTATACCTGGAACGGTATAGTTTATATAGCCGTTTCTACAGTGATAGAAGAGCGAAGTTTGTCTTAAACTATAGCTAAACTATATAAACTAATCAGAGGTCTCTATCTAACAGTCGAGAGAGTGGTGAGTTAGCAAACCTGAACTATAACTAAACAATCTATATTTATAATTGACATATAATTCATTATCATAACTGTACAGCTTTCTGAAGCACTTCGGCAAGAAGTGATTCTCACCTGATGGCGTGGGCCAGGTCTATACATTTCCACTGTTCCACCGGCTGTCCATTGAGCTGCAGAAGGGTGTCTAAATGCTGCAGACCGGCCTGGTCCGCTGGGCCTCCTGCAAGACAACAGGCCGCATAGACACATTCAGGGTGACGGCGAGATTGTTAACAGGCTAACCATCGACTCTCATCGCGCAACACTGCTACACGGCAGGGGGGTTCGAAACCGGACGCCCCCCCCTGATCGGGCGACAAACGCTGGAACCGCTAAGCGAAATGACAGAGGCGGAGATAGAAAGGGATTTACATACGAACGGCTTCATGATGAATACAAACCACAAAAAAAAGGTAGTATGTCCAAATGCAGGAAATGAGACGTGAGGGTGGTCCTGTCTAGCTCAATGGGTAGAGCATGGCTAGCTAGCTTTAGCCAGGGTTAGGGGTTCGATTCCCACTGGGGCCACCCATGCTAAGGAATGCGTGCGCTCACAGTATTGTAAGACGCTTTGGATGAAGGCGTCCACCATATTCAGCAAAAGAGAGTAGTGGGAGTAGACCCACATGCATCCGTCAATTAATCCATCATTCAATCGATTAATCACACCCACCTGGGTCGACGGCCTGGACCCTCACCGGGGAGTCGGAGCAGATGGTGAATCCATAGCCGTCCTTTCCTCGAAGGATGTTCACCTGCAGGAATAAACACACAGCAATTCAGTCTTGTAGAAGTTTGCATTGGGTTTTTTTTTTTATAATCCTCACAGTGTTCACGGCGACATATTCAGTTGTGAATGAAAACGAACGTGAATGAAGAGAATAACTTCTTCTTCATCAGCGCAGACTTACAAAATCAACCTACGGTAGAAAATGTTGCACTTTATTACACGGCTCTGTTGAATACTCGATTCTGATTGGTCAATTACCACTTTCTACGACCGCTGCTATGAATAACAGACCATTGCTATGGACGCAGTTATCCAATTTTAACGTATTGGGTTAGGGTTAGCCGAAGCAATAAATAAATAAAATCATTTTTTGTTATATTTTGTGTCAAATGTTTGATTTCTCCCGTAAGTTGCCGGGGGAATAAGCGGCGTAATGTACCCTATCGCTTACTTATTTTTTTTTAAAGAGAAACACATTACCTACTGAAAGCTATAGCAGACACTTCAACACATATTTAACATCTCGTCTCAGCACTGTACTCCCGTGTCCATCTAATATTGCAGTAGGTAATAGGATGGCACAAAGTGATGCAGATAAACTCTGAGCCGAGCGGGAGCTGAGAGTCTGGAAATGGGGCTCAGGGACATCCATATCCAGCGGCCCTTTAAACAGCAACACACAGACGGACAGATGGACAGATATCCCTGGACATTCGGAAAACAGGAGGCGTCTCGAACACCGAATCTCACATTACCTCCACACGAAGCCCAAAGTACACAGCCGTCTGGGGACAGACACAAAATACTGCTGATTGAATTTTGACTGCGCTAGCCCCGCTAACACAGTCCATTTTGGAGTATGGCTCCTATCTATTTTAACTTAAACAAGTTGAGTTTAACAAAACCTGAAATAAGTTCAGCCTACACCTATTTACTAGTGTTGCTATTCTGTATGTATGCTGTATATAAGATTTTAGACACGTAGTAGTACATTTGGGAACACACACACACACACACTGGTACACGATGTGTGTGCGTATTAGCGTTGTAGCCACACACTGTGTTTTGGTGTGTGTGTGTGTGTGTGCGTGTGCGTTGACGGAGGTTGCCGTGTCTTTCTGACTCTTTCTGACCCAACATGGCAGACATGCATTACCTCTGTGCCCAGTGTGGGCAGCCAAAGTCAACAGACAACCATTGAAAACACACCAGCGTTTCCATCTCATCCGCTAACAGCCGTGGGCCCCAAAGAACACACATTTACAAAGTTCATTTTCACACTCTTGTCCCTCACTCCTTTTCCCTCTCACGTCCTCTCACTCTTCTTCTCTATATTCCCGTGTATAACGTTGGAGCCATGTTTAAAAATAAATCTGTCATAAATTGTGCTTCCTGTTTCGCTCGTATCATTTTACGATGACAGCTTATTCACTACTGACAATTGCAGTGTGGGAGCAGTGTGCGATTTCACTTCTAATGTAAAAAACCCTGCCGCCGAAAAATAAAAAATAAAAATCCCCGTAGGTCCTTTGATCTAATAAAATAACTACAATCACCACAATGCAATATTTTTGGACAGCTCCCGAGGAAGGATGTTTTACATAAACACCTCCGAGACAGTAGGACACTCTAACACACCCCACGGCCTCCATGGCACGGACACAAACAAGAAGCCCACGTGTGTGCGTGTCTATGTGTTTACGTGCGCGCGCGTGTGTGTGTGTGTGTGTGTGTGTGTGTGTGTGTGTGTGTGTGTGTGTGTGTGTGTGTGTGTGTGTGTGTGTGTGTGTGCGTGTGTCCGTGCATGCGTCTCAGGGGGGAGGAGAGGGAGGATCTCGGTCTGTCTGTCCGCTGGGGCGGATGTAACAAATCTTTCCCCTTTTGGATTTCCGCCCTGGTGCTCCCGGTATCTTGCTACCCACAGGACTCCCAACGACGGCATGTGGCTGGCATCCGCCTCCCCCTCTGTCGGCGCGTCTCTCTCTCTCCTGCACCCCTCGGCTGCAGACAGCAACATGCCGGGTCTCAATGTGCTCGTCGCATGCCGTGCTTGCCATGCGACGAGCGCATGAAAGTACACGCATACCTGTAAACCAGGCGTGTGTGCATGTATTCGTGAGGATATACATGCAGACATGCATGTCACCGAAAATATCCAGGTCAGGATAGAGCGATGTGCATTATAGATGAAAGTTTACAAAAACACGCGCACACAAACAAACACTCGCGCGTGCGCACACACACACACACACACACACTCACACACACACACAGGAAGCCAGCGCCTACCCAACCACACACTCCTACGGACAGTAGCTTTCTCTGAAGCGAATACACATTTTCCTTTTCCTCAGAAAGACAATGTTATCTGGGTCAGTGTGTTTCGGTGACACACACACAGATACACACAGACACACACACACACATGCACACACACACAATTGTAATGTTTTCACTGCATCCTTTCAAAAATGGTGGTACGATCAGGTGATGTTCCAATCTTCTTGTCAGTTAAAGTTAAATAATATGAAATACTGTTACATGAAAGCAAAGCATCTCTCTACATGTTCACTCATATATTATACACTCCCAGTTTCCTATAACGCATCTCATTGTATGTTTTGCTACAAGTTACGCAACACCTATGTTTTGTTCACCGCGGGTATTGGTCACAACGTCGGAGTCAATTGAGGCATACGGTCAATAATGAAGACGGCTGTTTGACGCGCAGCCTGTTGCAGACAGTATTCCCCCTGTTGCCGTCCCCGGCGACGCATCGGCTCTTCCGCTTGTTGTGCTTGCCTTCAACTATTTATGAGCAACCGGTTCTCCCCTCTCGACACGAGGAACACTCGGTTAACTTCCCTCCGGCTCTCCAATTCATGTCCAAACTTAGAAACACATCAATATCAATATCTCAACAAATATTCCCAATCACCGTACCAGTACTGATGTGTGAAAAATAAACGCACAAACCCAACCTTCACCTCAGTCATTCTTCTTAAAATGTTATACCATATATATATATATATATATATATATATATATATATATATACCATGTAACCAGCCTAGTACCGGCCTAACTTTAAATGTACACACATAATTACACAAACGTCTGTGTATTTATGTGCCATGGACCTCTCACAACTTCGTCACCCAACAACAGCTAATAAGAAGAGCTTGCGACGGGAATCCCGCAACCCCTCTATCGCTCTGTTTTCCGATCTCCCTCGGCCGTCTCTCCTCTATTCCTCCCTCCACCTCCTTTTTCCTCAAAGACTGACCTGAGGCAGCCTACATCCGATGCAGAGGTGGCACAGCCCGTGGATGGTGTGGACGACACCTTCACCTCCACCTCCTCCTCCTCCTCCTCCACCGCCTCCTCCCAGGTCTGCGGCCAGCACGCACACGCTCCTGCGGTGCGTCTGGGTCAGCGTGGCGACGGCGGTGGCGGTGGGCGACCCCCTGCAGCCCGAGTAGCGCCACAGCCTCCTCTGGGCGGCCGAGTGCGTGCGGGGGCTTCGCTCCGAGGGCTCGGGGGTCTTGAGGGTGTTGTGGATCATCTCCGCCGCTGCTCGTCGCTCCCTCTCTCTCTCTCGCTCGCTCTCCGTCGATTGGGACTGGAGGTGGGGGGGGGGGGGGGGGGGTCGGAGTTGTACGCAGATGGAGAACTGAACACTTGTGCGTTGCCAGGCTTCTCCTTCCTCCTCCTCTTCTTCTTCTTTCTGCGATCCTGTGATGGTGTCAGGATACTGCTTTCAGAGCAATAGTGCCTTTTACTGTGTTATTATTCTGTACTCTACTCAACTGACATCAACTGGCTGTCAGAGCAGAGCTCAGATCCCCACGGGCCAGCGGGTCGCAGTCGTCGAGCGCCGGGCTCTGGCTCGGGCGTTTTTTTAGATTAGGGTTGTGATCCCACGTCCAGCGTTCGCTCCGGAGCTTGACGTTTTCCCATGATGCCTTTTGTTTTTCTATTTTCGTTGCGTTTAAAAAAAATGCGTTCACTTTGCGGTCGTCCCTTCCCACGTTTCCATCTCTTTCTTCTTCTTTAAAAAAAAAATATATATATGTGTTTCTCGGTTCAATCCCGTCAGCACAAACCGACGAGAACCAGGGTGGAGGAGATCTAGAGGAGCAGAGCGGGAGCGGCGGCGGCGGTATCCGTAGCCCTCGGACTGCGATCAGCTGTGTGGCGTCACGAAGGCGAGACTAGGCCCTGGAGGTTGGCCTGGTCGGCCTGCGCTGCCGCCCCTGGCAGGGGGGCTCATGGGAACTGTTCAGCGGCAGAAGAATAGTAGGAAGTGCCCCCCTCCACTTGCCCCCCCACCCACCCCCACCCCCACCCTCCTCCTCTCCTAGCACACACACACACACACACACACACGGACACACACACAGACACACACACACACAGGCACATGCAGGCAAACGCACGCACACATACCCATAGATACATGCACATGCAGGCAGACACACACACACACACACAGGCAAACACTGGCAGACACACACACACACACACACATAAATTCAGACACATAGACACATTCATACACACACACACACACACACACATACACACAATCATGCAGACAGACACACATTCTCTCTCTCTCACACACACACGCACACACACACACACAGCCCATGGCCCCAGCATTATTGTAGCTGCCCTTGATAAGGTCAGCTTCCTTAGTCTTTCCCATCGGACTAACAAAGAAGTGCTATATCTCATCAGAGGTGAGAACTTTTCACTGAGTAACGTGGCAGAGTAGGAGGTGAGACCGCTCCAT